TGCCCTTTACACTATATTGTTTAAGAAGATTTCTTAGAAATGAGAAGTAAGATTTTGGATTTGGGCTTATTGTCTATGTACCTCACCTAGCTGACTGATTCTTAATTGCACTATGAACAGAGTTTAAGTTTCTTTTTTCTTTTTTAATGTAGGAGTACTGCTATTTATTCAGCCATTGATTACGCTGATTGAATTGAGCTTGAACTCCCTATTGCATTAAAATTTTTTTAATTGAATATTCGTGAGATAGACCATTACAAAGCTGTTTATAATTGGGTTTATAAATGGGTGCTGGATCAGTCACACAGTGATCCAGCACCCATCCCTCCACCAGTGTACATTTCCCACCACCAATGCCCCCCTTTTCCTCACCACCATCCCCCAACACACCACCCCCTACCCTCAGAGTCTCAGTTTCTTAATTAAAAAAAAAAAGTAAATAATAACTTACCTCTTAGGGTTGTTTTGAAGAATAGACAAAACAGTGACTATCTAGTTGATGTTCAATTTAAATTCAGGTAGGATTATGAGCACGCGCTGGATGCCAGTCATGTGCTTCAGGTATTGTAGGTATGGAGCAGACTGCCCGTGGCCTCAATCCCCGGTGTTCCTTGGGCGTGCCACTTCTCTGCTGCTCTTTTCCTTCCATGTCACCCTGCACAGCATCACCCCCAGTAGCCATGAGCAGCAGAACTTGGAAAAAACTGTCACTGAGACATGAAACATGTCTGTTTAATTCTTCTCCTATGATGTAGGTATTTTCATTTTTGAAAATCTGCTCCTTATAAATATTGTTGATGTTAATTTATTATTTTTATATGAACCAGTCACAATAATAAAATTCTTTATTTTCCCTAAAAGAGTACTATGGTCTCTTAGGTTTTGTTCACTTCCCTCTCTTTTACATTTTAGGTTCTCATGCAAAAAATTGAAGTTTTATACTATGCAAATAATATTCAGTCAGGATAGGAATATATTTGATTTTGTTTTCATCTGAGCATTTCTGGTTATAATTATGCGCATTTTAATCATCTCCAGATTCCAAAAGAATTGTTGATTTAAACTAAAGGATTTTAATGACTACAATATTGTGTTAAAACATCTTTTATTTTCAAGGAAACATTTCCTAGAAACAGTAGAAAATATTTTATTAGGTCGGTGGTTTCATGAATATTAACTGTTAGAAAATTAGTATTTCTTTTTTTTTTCTTTTTGGGTCACACCCGGTGATGCTCTGTGGGTACTCCTGGCGTTGCACTAAGGAATTACTCCTGGCAGTGCTCAGGGAACCATATGCGATGCTGGGATTCGAACCCGGGTCAGCTGTGTGCAAGGCAAACGCCCTACTTGCTGTGCTATTGCTCTAGCCCCGAAAATTAATATTTCTAAGAAATGTTTAAAAGACAAAACAGTCTTTCACCATTTGGGCTGAATATGATGTTATATGATATTAAAAGACATAACTACAATTTTCATTTTGTAAAGATTTTTACTAGTAGGATTATTGCTACTGAAAGAATGTTAGGTTAACATTTTGATCATTGCTTTTCACACCTGTTTTGTTAATACTGGAATCTTAAATGAAACAGTACTCAAGATTCAGTGTGTAAAACAGGAGGGATTTTCTCCTGTGGGCGTGGTGGAAAATTGTAGAATTGCCTATAGCACCCTTGCTCATTGTTTTTTTTTGGGGGGGGTGCTTGTCACACTTGGCGATGCTTAGGGGTTACTACTGGCTCTGCACTCAGAAATTACTCCTGGCGGTGCTCCAGGAACAATATTTGATGCTGGGGATCAAATCTGGTTGGGTCATGTGCAAAGCAAATACCATACTGGCTGTACTATAGCTCCGGCCCCATTCATTGAGTTTTTGAGATAGCTTCTGTGCTTTTCACTGACCACAAGGGGTTAGTGATTCACCCCAAATCCAACATAAAACCTAAACAACCTCCCCAGAATAGCTCATTTTAAACATAGAAAATCTGAATAAATATACCTTCATAAAAGACATACAGTTAACAAGTAGTCACTTGAAAGGATGTTCATCTTTTATGATTTGGAAAATGCACATCAAAACCCCAACAAGGTAATATCACTAAGCCATAAAAATGACTATTATTATCTCAAAGACAAGAAACAAGTATTAGAGAGGATGTGGAGAAAAGATGTGGATTCATCAATCATGAAAAAATAGTAAGAGTCCTCAAAATCTAAAATATATGTTCCGTATGACATAATTATACCCCTTTTCAGAATTAAAAAATACAGAACACTAATTTGAAGGTATATATGCACTTCCATATTTGTTGTGATTTTTATTTTTTACAGTAATCAAACAGCCTCAGTGCCCATCCACAAATGAATACCAATGTGTTAAATATACAGAAAAAAAATAAGCAATAAAAATAAAAGTTCTGTTTTTTACAACAATATGGATAGGTCAAGATGATATTACTATCTTTAGTAAAGAAGTCAAAGACAAAACTACATATTTTTCATATGTGTTATAGAGAACCAACAGAAACTCGATAAAACAGAAAGGGAGATAGTCCAGGTAGATAGTTCAAAGGGTTAGAGTACAAGCCTGGCATGTTAGAGGTCCTAAGTTGGTCCATGGCACAGGCCCTCTCAACTACCACTAGGTATGACCTTGGTGTCCACCAAGCACCTGGCTCTCAAGCCCATGCTTCTGAGCCTCTTCCCTTTGCCCCTCTCAAGTACCACTTAGGGTGGGCCATATGATAAAGAGCAAATAATGAGCTTATAGAGTAGAGATCAACTGGTGGTTACCAGAGGAAGGGGTGGTTAAATTGGTCACCTATTATCAGTTCTTTGATTAAAGATAAGACCTTTAGTGATGTACTTACTGTTGTTTTTCAGTACACCTGGAATTTTTGTGATATTGTAACTCACTGTGAGCTTCAGTTGAAAAGATAACAAAATGAGGGCTAGGACCTAACTTATGGGTAAAGATCTTGCCTTGTCATATGTGAAGCCCCACATTTGTCCTTGGTGCCATGCACAGACCACACACGTGTGCGCGTGCGCGCGCGCGCACACACACACACACACACACACACACACACACACACCACTCCCCAAAAACCCACAATTAAGCAAAAAATTATATATAAAATTGAAAGCTGCTCTAGTTCTACTAATTCTTGCATCTGTCACCTTGGGGTCACATTTGGTTAATTGTTATATTTTTCTCTTCATCAGGACTTTTCTGTTTTTTCATGTGCCTGGTTGTTTTTTGTTAGACTCCAGACGTTGTGAAGTTTACCTTGTTATGTGCTGGATAGTCTTGAATTCCTATTGTTGGCCTTTGTGCTAGGATGCCATTAAGTAAGTTGCTTGCAAACAGTTTTGCAAAATTTGGGTCTTGCTTCTTGGATTTGTTCCATGGGACTAGAGTGACATTTTAGTCTAGCATGAAGTTTTCACTATAGCAAAGGAAAGACCATTCTGTGTGTTCTTCCCTGTGTCCCACTGTTTTCGAAGTTTTTCCATCTGGCTGAGGGAACAGACAGCATTCTAGCTACAAATGAGTTCTGGATGCTGTTTTTATAATCCTTTGAAGATGTCTTCCCTGGTCTCAGGTGCTTGTTCTCATTTATTTGCGGGTCATTTCTCAACTAAATACTGTAAAGGCAGCCTTTCCAAATATCTGCTGTTTTCTCTCTGAAAGCTTCACTTTTCTAGTACATTCTGTGGGAAGTGGTGTCTTCTCTCATATATCCTCTCCACCTTGTACTTTAACTGGGCTCCTTCTGAGTTCCTCCTTGCACATCCAGCTGAGGAAATGAAGGGTTCATCCTGTTTCTTAACTCTTAGATTGCCAACTTATACTGTCTGATGTAAAATTTCTTGCAAATCATTATCTCCTGTACTTCTATTTTTATTTTTTTTCCAGAGGGAAGGAAAGGTGGATTCTTATTATTCTACTGTGAGCAGAAACATGAGTTTTAAATATGAGGATTTACAGATAAGTTGGGCCAGAGCGATAGCACAGCGGTAAGGCATTTGCCTTGCATGCAGCCAACAATGGCCGACCCGAATTCGATTCCTCTGCCCCTCTCGGAGAGCCCGGCAAGCTATTGAGAGTATCTCGCCCGAGCGGCAGAGCCTGGCAAGCTACCCGTGATGTATTCGATATGCCAAACACAGTAACAACAAAGTCTCCAATGGAGCCGTTACTGGGCCCGCTCGAGCAAATCGATGAACAACAGGAGGACAGTGACAGTGACAGATAAGCTAGTCCTTTTTTTTTGGTATATACATTGATACCTGGAGCTATACCACAGCGGGTAAGGCATTTGCTTGCATGTGGCTGACCCGGGTTCGATTCCTTCGTCCCTCTTGGAGAGCCCGGCAAGCTACTGAGAGTATCCTGCCTGCATGGCAGAGCCTGGCAAGATCCTTGCGGTGTATATGATATGCCAAAATAGTAACAAGAGTCTCACAATGGAGACATTACTGGTGCCCGCTTGAGCAAATTGATGAACAATGGAAGGTCAGTGCTACAGTTCCACATGGATACCACTGGAATGTACAATGAAATTTAACATTGTATCAGTCAGTTATTTTTCAGAGTGTTTTCAAGTTACTGCTTTTCTACATTTTGCCCAAAGTTTGAAGATTACTATAGACTTAATTGTCATATTATATTTACTGTCAAATTGTGTTTTTCTTCTTATAAAAATCAATTATATCTCAAACAATATAATTTTCATGATAAAATAATTTACTATTTTGGGATCAGCACATAGTACAATGGGTAAGGTACTTGCCTGGCTTACATCTAACCCAGATTCTATTCCTGGCATCCCAAATTGTGCCCTGAGCACCACCAGATCTCTGAGCACAGAACCAGGAGTAAACCCTGTACACTGTTGGGTATGGCCACCCCAAAAGAAACAATTTATTATTTTTGACTTGTCCTTCTACTAAAAACAACCATTATTATAGTAGCAATTTTATCCTTTAATTTCTTTCAGAAGTTGCCAAAAGGACATTTCAAGAAAAAGGAATCTTGGCAGGAGAGGACAGAAGTTATAAGCCTCATTTGACCTTCATGAAGTTGTCGAAGGCACCTCATCTCCGAAAGAAGGTAAGTGGGTATCTGTATTATAAACTTTACTGGATTTTGTATTTTATGTATTTTGTATTTTCTGTATTATACATTTTACTGGGCACATCATTCTTATAAAGCATAGTTGGTGGCATAAATGACATTTACAGTGATCTTTGCTACTACTGTTGCTCTTGGAATTTCAAGTCACTTTGGTTCCATTTCCCAGAATGCTAATTCGCCCCATAAGTCTCTATGGAGACTCTCAAAGCCACGCCTTCCTTCTCTGCTGTGGCTCCAGCTCCATATTGACCATCATTTTGTACTGCTTTATCTATTTCCACACCTCTTTCATCCCTTGAAGAGCCTTCAGCCAGTACCAGAGTTCTGTTTTGTTGTTTCATTTGTCTGTGGTTGATTGCAGCCAGCTGTTCTCAAAGCTTTCTCCTCTAGTTCTGTCCTCTATACCCTGGTACTGCTCATTGCAATTGTCTATTTCACACGGGACAAACTTTTAAGTCAATTATACTTAGCTTTTAAGGTTTCCAAAAAGGATCACTATGTTCTTTCATCAGTTGTCCCCATTGAGGAGTTGGAAAAAGTGTTACAGGAAGTGGGTCAGCAGAGTTAATGAGGGGACCCCATTTCCCTAGCACATCAGAGCCCTGCTCCCCAAGGATGGTCAGCAGTGATACAAACCAAGGGACCTGTCTTGAATTTCCTTGTCTCAGAGTGACTTTCTGCCTTCCCAGGCCAGACCCTCTTTTCTCAGAGATTGAGTACCTTTTTACTTTCCTTTGGGTTCGTGAGTATTTCTTCTGCAGTCCCAAGGGCACTCTTCATTGTTTGTCCTATTTCTTCCTCTCCTGCAAATGAAAACATCTGCTGACCAGCTCTGGCTATAGCAGAGCGTGGAGATGGGTGTGAAGAGTAGGATTTGTTTCTGCTCTCCATTACCCTTTGAGTGCAGTTAAGACTGATTTGCTGCTCCATTGATGAAGGTTAAGTTTGTGTGTAGTAAGTAGATCTTTTGCCTACATTTAGTAAATTTTATATGTAATGTCTCTTTGCTCAGGAAGTTTTTTCGGTCCCTTAAAACATGACTTTGGGTTACTGACCATCCATTGATTATAAATTTTCTATAAAATATTGTAAGTAGTTCCTAAAAAAATATATATCATGTGGACTGGGGAGATAATGCAGTGGGTAGGACACTTGCCTTGCACACGACTGACTTGACACCAGCTTTGATTCCTGCTATACCATATGGTCCTTGAGAATACCTGGGAGTGTTCCTTGAGCACAGAGCCCAGAATAAGCCCTGATCACTGTGCAGCCTACCCTGTCCCCCACCCTAATAGCTTGAATTTTTCTCGTTTTTCCTCTTTCCAAATAAATATGCCACAAATCACTAATGACTGGAGAGCCCGGCAAGCTACCGAGAGTATTTGATATGCCAAACACAGTAACTAATGACTGTATTAAGTAGTATTCTAGAATATTTATTTTTTTGGATTTTTGGGCCATACCCACTGGTGCTCAGGGTCTATACCTTTGCTGTCCTGGGAAGAATGAGGAGCCATCAAACCTTGGCCCTTAAAGTATGGGAGTCACGCAGCTCAGCTCTTTGAACTCTCTGACCCTGGTCCTCCAGAATATTTAAAAGTAATTTGTGTCAGTAATAATTTTGAAACTTGGAATGATAGCAAGTGACTCATGGATTGACAGTTTACTTTTTTCCTTGTTGTCATTCTTCTTTTATTTTTCATATGGATTATCCTCTTCACAGATGCTTTCAAAGTTAATCACAGAATTATGAATTAGTGATAATGGTAATAATCATATTACAAAATGTTTCTTTGTTATTACGATGCTAACTTTTAAATGAGAGCACCCAAAGACACTCATCAAAAGAATGTTTTTGCCACTTTAAAATTTCTACTTCAACATTGCAGACTGCATGTAAGTGGTGCCTTGGCAGTTAATTTCTCAGGTTCTTCCCCCTTGCTATATGAAGAAGGGTTGTGAATAATTAAGGAAAAGTTAAGTAATCAGAATAACCTCATTTTTTTATCGGTTTCATCTCCAGCATCCGATGTGGACCCCCAAACACTGCTGGGAGTAACTCCTGAATGCAGAGCCAAGAATAACATCTGAGCATTACCAGTGTGGCCCAAAACAAACAAAAGAAGATAGTAATAGAGTTCATACCTGACTTTAAGTGTTAGATTGATAATGAAATAAAAGCAGAGAGTGATGTGAAATAATAGTATTTTTTCACTCAAATATAAGGAATTCATTTCAAGTACATAATTTTTAAATTTTTAGTCAATTTCATATGAAGTACTAGTTGAATATATGCTTGAGGAAGACATTTAAATATGTTCAAACTTACTTTAGTATTTCTTTCATCATTATATTTCATCATCTTCCCGCCATACAATTTCTTTCTAACCTTGGCTTCATGATACTTCTGGAGGCACTGAAAATGTATGTATGTATGGCTGCACTTACATTCATATAGATCCTTTAAAATAGAATTAATATATTATACATTAACTAATAAACTAACTATTCTTGCTTTGAGAAATAACTGGATTTATTTTCATTTTTTTGCTCCACAAATGCTATTTGTGATCATCCATTGTCCTTTGGATAGGTATGTCAGAATCATAAGCAACCTGTTCCTTGAAGTTTGATTCTAGTATCAAAGAATATTGTACATTTTAGCTCTTTAAATATACCACAAATTGGGGCCAGAGCGATAGTACAATGGGTAGGGTGTTTGCCTTGTGCATGGCCAACATGGGTTCAATCCCCGACATTCCATATGGTCCCCTGAGCACGGCCAGGAGTAATTCCTGAGTGCATGAGCCAGGAGTAATCCCTGAGCATTGTTGGGTGTGACCCAAAATAGCAAATAAAAAAGAAAAAAAAGCCACAAATAGTCTTTCAAAATAATGGCACTAGTTGATATTCCAATCACATGGTATGAGAGTGACGTTTCTTAGGATAAGTTTGAGGGAAAATTACTATCAAAGGCAGTGAATAGTGTCTTAAATTGGTATGGCCCTTTTAAAAGATGTTTGTGAGTAACTTACATAAAAATTTAAATATTTATGTTCTGTAAGAAGTTTATGTTACTGACATTACCCTAAGGAAATTAATTTAAATGCCCCAGTAGCATTTAATTATTTAAGCGCTTGGTGGCAAAAGTAAAACAAGCAAAAAAAAAGTGCTCCCCTTATGTAGGCAATTAGTTTAATTCCCCATGTGGCTCACATGTATCGAGTGCTGTCCTGTGTGATGTCCAAACAAAACCTGTGTCTGGTACTTGGTGGTACTCAAGGTTTACTCCTGGATCTGTGTTCAGGGAGCACTTGTAGTGGGGCTCAAGAGACCATATGAGGTTCTGGGGATCAAGGCCTGCTCAACCTTGTGCAAGGCAAGTACGCTATCCACTGTATTATCACTCCAGCCCCTTGTGTCTTTTTTTTTTAATAACCTGGAAAACTGTTATTCATACTGATGTTAAAAAAAGAAAAAAGATTCAGAGTTGCAGCATTACTTATCTGGTTCTGAAAGTGAAACGTCTTATTGACATAAATGATGTAAACAGGGGCCTGGAGAGATAGTATAAACAGGTAAGATGCTGTCCCTTACCTGCTGGCCTGGCACTATATATGGTCCCCTAAGCTCCCCTTTGAGTGATCCTGATTACAGCTAATGTGGCCCAACAAGAACAAATGAACAAACGAAAAAGATGTAGATATATGTGCATGGATGAGAGTTCACAGCACTGGTGTTTTTGTAAAAAATAAAGTATCAAGATATCCTAGAGTTGTTAGATGTTGGCTACAAAAATTCTTGACTTTTGGGGCACCATCCTTTGACTGGCACCTGTTTGCAGTAAGTAGCCTGAATCCCAGTGGGATAGCTGAAGCTCAAAAGATTGTGTTTAGAATTTTGAAAATATAGAAATAACCAAAATTTTCATGGGAGAATGGACCTACCTTTGTTACAATATGTTATTCTGACCTCCAAACTGAAAAACTGAATTTCCTAACTCAGATCTAGGACATATAAGATTTGGCAGTTGCACATCTTTCTTGAACTAAAGGAGAACATTAGTTTTTCATATTTTTAGTTTTGTGAAATTTTAATCAGATATATTACATGAGGGTATCAAGTATTTTTGCCATTTTAGTGCTATTTTGATTCTCATGCTTTCAAAGATTTTCTTTTAATTGAATTTCAATTCTGAAAAGTATAATTAAGGATTAGATAATTCATTAAGTTGCTATATCTAAAATAGAGAATATATTTGTTTCACTTGTTTCGTCTGGCACACTTGTTCAGTTTTATACTAGTTTAGTATATTCTTTTGGACTTTTCCCCCTCAGAATGTGCTCCTTGTTTTTGTGATTTAAACATTGCAGAAACTGATTGGTTAGAAGTATATTCTAACACTTGGTGGCAGAAGAGACCAGTTTCAAAACTAACAGCATTTTAATGCACGTCTTTATTTTTTAAGAAATAACTGTGATATTTTCCTGGATAAGTCGGTTGTTTTAAAATGTGAACTATTTTTGACATAACTGACTTTCCTGATTATTGCATATTTTCAATTCACTAACATAACACTTGACAATAAAAGCTATGGCTTACATTAAATGGTACTCTCTTACAATAGCTTTTCACAGGGTCAATGAGAGACCTTAAGGAGAAAAGACATTATTTTCTTTGAAACTGATAGCCATGATCCTCACTTAGATAACTTTGTTTTGAGTGCAGAACTTGGTGTGCACATAGTCTGGATGGAAGAGTGGTATTAGCTAGTATTATGATGAAGGAGAAGAGAGGAGAGCAGAAGGAAATTATCAGTAGAAGTGGGAAAGGAGAAAACAGATGAAAATTCTATTCCTATGGCATAATTAGTGATAAAATCTAGGCCCTGAATTGTCTCTTGGTTGAATATACAGGAGCAATTTTTTAAAAAAATTTAAAAAAATTTTTTTTATTGAATCACCGTGAGATAG